ATATTTACTTCGTGACGCAGTGGATGTGGAATATCTTGAACTATTCACCGCAACAGTAAACCGAGACAATAAGCAACACACATCACTAATCCTAATATGTTACGGTTCATAAGGTTGTGTTCATTTTGGTCCTAAACAAATCCCGGATTCATGAGAGCTTTAGAGAATTTAGTCATCTCATTCTCATAGAAAGCGACCCACTTCTACTCTCACATAGGGGGCCATAGATTAAGAATATTATGCAACAGTCCTCTTATTTATAAGATATCACTGTTGTTAAGTATAAATATACATCCTAAAACTTTTGCAGACAACACACTTCTTCCACCATATGAATGAGGTATATAGTGTGTTAACTTCTTTGAATCATGCTCAACCAGTTTGCCTATTGAATTTAGACCATGGGATCTCCAATCAACTAAGTTAGGTTTCCGTCCGGCTGATTCATTAGTTATGTTGGCTTTAGCCTCATTCCCCTCGATGATCAACTTACTCTCTAGTCCAACCTTTAATAATTGGATCCACCACTAGGATGACTACCATTAATGGTGTGCACAATCCATGTTATGATATTATATTTCATACGATAGTATTTGTTTGACATTGTTTAAAATGTTAAGTTCTCAAAATTATATTAGGACGTAATTACTAAGTAATTTGCTAACACTAAGCACTTGGGTAAACTCTCCCACATTTAAGGTATTTGTAAGAAAATCTCTAACATTGCCATACCTTAAACAATTACCCATTACAAGAGATGACATCTTAAATGTCGTTCAATTAGCAAATTACTTTTAACCAACCCTCACAATTCTTTCAAAATTGTAGTTTCTTTTAATGCTATCATTAAATCGATCACATTTTCCACTTTAAGAAGTAAAGAACAACTAAGATAAACTCTATCTATCTTTTTAGGCCTTCGTGCCTCACTAGAAATTATGAGAAAATCACTTCTTGGCTTTCATTCTTTCCTTACTATGACTAACATGTATGACCCAATGGCCATGTCCATTTATATGCTTACTTAATAAGCATCATCATCTAGCCCAATGATCAAATTAAATCTTTCTATTGAAATTGGGAAATTCATGCCTCAGTTTCATCATTAGACGTAGCGATCTTCCTTCTCAAAGAGGGCTAGGGTTTACGTCAAACACAACATATTCTATTTCCAATATCTAGCCACTGCTTTATGAGAGTTGTCATATTTTCTAATTATTGTAAAGATATATAAATTTCTTTCTTTTTAGAAAATATGAAAAATAACAATATAATTTCAATGACAATAATCATAAAGAAAATCATAAAATCAATAGTATACAAGATTAATATAAACAACTAGGGAGAAAGTTAGAAATACTGACAAACTTGGAGATTGAAACTTGCATAAATGCAATGTCCTAATGATATAATTTCATTTGTAGACATGCCAACTGAAACGCTAGCGGACATGTACACAAAACTGAAACTGTAGCAGAAAGACTCTCCAGATGATATTGTAGCATACCCATCCTCTAATGCAAGGGGCCTAATATTATTGTTGACTCACTTGCTAATGTTAATTCACCAAAATGGAAAGAGAAAAAGTGTATTATTATTTTCATATATAAAATTAAAATTTTAGTCATGTAATATTCATCAGTACCTTGAGCTTTGACTATGGTTCTAGGTAGGATCAGTTAGAGCTTCATTTAAATTCAATGAATATTGTATGAACAAAGTTTTTAGCTTTTATCAATTCGTCCATCTATGAAATATGGAGATTTGCATTGATTCTTCGTGACTATTTATGACCTATATCTATATGGTCAAATTAGCATGACTACTATAGTCATTCTGTTTATCCCTGTACTTTGATGCATAGAAAACCAAAGAGGGAAAAAAGTGTGTCATATATATATATATATATGAAAAATAAGAGAGTTAGAAGAAACGAGTGCAATATATGTAACAATTTGCACGATAGTGAATGTTAAAAAATAAACATGGTGAGATATTGGATAAAACTATATTAATCACATCTCATGTTACATGGCTAATTAATTATATGAGATGAATATATCCAAAACTTGCAAAATTCAACATCAAATTCTAACACAAGCAACAATGTTTTATGGGAATTCAGTGCTGGGTAGTTTTTGGGTGGCATGGCTAATTAATTATATGAGATGAATATATCCAAAACTTGCAAAATTCAACATCAAATTCTAACACAAGCAACAATGTTTTATGGGAATTCAGTGCTGGGTAGTTTTTGGGTGGATGAGAGACAGAAATCCATGCAAACAGAGATTGAGAGGTGGTGATGGCTGGTGATTCTTCTTTCTTAATTTATGTTCTGAAAGAGGTTGGAGTTTTTATGGTAGTTTCCCATATTGCAGCATTGTGGACACATATTCTATAGGATTGTATTGTAGGTTTATAATCATCTGGTATTAATGAGTTGTTGTATGGAAAAATTGAATATGTGTAGCAAGACATACGTTTATCTATTCAAATTTGAAAACCTGAAAAGTTTTTAGATGATTTATACCCACAAATTTAGTACTTGATAAATGATATAATTATCATGAATTTTTTATACAACAATATATTTACACGAAAAGTGTAAGGAATAAATTTGTTGACCTTTCAATCATAAAATTTAAGATTACGAAGTTTGGGATTATACATAGGTGGCAACAATTCAATACGATTATGGCATGGCTTAAACAATTTAATACACATAATCACACATGGTTTTCTTTGGGATTTTTTTTTTCGCCGAAGCCCAACTAGCCAGAGTACAGCCCTAAAGTTTGAGAATTTTTTCGGGGTTCCGGGAAGTCCACGTTAGTTGGTGTTCCCGTCAATGGTTGTTTGACATCTAGGCTTTCTTTTTGATCTTACTGAACAAACTCTTAAATGCTAAAACGTTTGTCTCAAGGCGAAAAAAGCTAAACGGAGTTAAATTTTCAGATCTTCTTCTTCCTCGTCTGATAACCCATAAAGGGATCGAGACTGCATCCGTACGGTGAAGGAGAGACCATTGAATGTCCCAAACAACTATACGATAGTAAAATGAAACAGATCGGCTTTCCCCCCTCTATTTTTCAATGACAAAGAAGATGTTCATCAGAAAACAAAGTAGATGGCTGACTAAGAACAAAACGGAACAGAAAGGTTATTCACAAACGTGTTAACTCTGATTATTTTTACAAAATTCGGAGTGACGTTTTAGCATTTAAGAGAATGAATTAAATAAGACAAAAGTAAATTCAGTTGTTAAATAACCATCAAGGCCTTAAAAACAAGTAGCAACAAGATTCTACCCTGCTTCTCTATTGCAGCATCTTCCAAGTACTTTTGATTCTTCTTCACCTTCAGGACACCTATGTTTATTTGATTCCCTCCTTAAACAGATTTGGCACATTCATTCAACCCTTTCCTAAACCAGTGAACATTTAGCTTACACGCCACACTTCACTTAGGAAAGTTATAATGTCATAATTATTCAATCCTTGCTAAATCGAAGTCATTGATTTAACTGGATACTTCCTAAAACGTGCTAATTTTTTCGAAGTTTTTCAAGTCTTGGTGCTGGAAACGAATCAAATGAGCTGAGAGTTTCCAACGAGGCCTAATCCAAGAAACCCATATTGTTGTTATGGTTTAACCTTGTATCCAGTTGCGAAACCGCGATTCGTCGAGGAGAGGGGTAAAGTTTAAAAGGGTAGAAGTTTTTGCCTTTTTTTTTGGTGCACTCCACAAAAACACATTCAGTTATGCAAACTCGTCAAACACTTCCATAACCTTGTTCATATCTCTACATTTAGAATACAATTCAATCAAGCAGAACCCATAAACATATTCAATGCAACCTTGTCATGCTTCTTTCACAAACCCATGTATTATTTTCCCATATGCGAGTGTCATTAACCTTGCACACGCCTTCAGAGCAATAGGAATGGCAAAATTATTAGGCTTTTCATCGGTGCCTCATGGCTCATATATCATGATATGGAAGAGATGCAAGAAATCTTCCCATCAATCCTCTCTACAATAGCTCATGAGCTTGGCATTCCAGATGAAGACAGTTCTGTGCGGCGTTTCGTCAAACATATTGTGGGCATGGAGAATAATCCAGCTTAAGAATAAAAATTCCCAAATTCAATCATGCAACCTTCACTCAGGCTTAGAAGATTGTTCAAATCCCCCGTAATAATCCAAAGGTCATTGCTAGCTTTAAGTAAAGATATATCTCAAAAACTACAAAATCACAATCAAATCTCAATATAGGAATTTCAACATGATAATATTTTTTTTATCCGCACACTGTAATAGAAAAGATGATGCTTAAACCTATGAAAAGAATTCTTCATCATAGCCATGTTCTCACCCACCATATGGCTATAGCTATGCCCGTACATTAACATCGACATTAGAGTTCCCGCCATCTCAAAAAATTTCTCATTCCTGAGAAATTTTTTATTGTAACAGAAACACGAGTGTTATAGCACATGTTTTTATGTAAGTGATGAAAAATTTTATTTTTCAAATTATTAATATTTTAACACACATATCTCATAATCTATATAATGATACGTGATGTATTATTTCTTGTGCTGTTCACATATCTCCTGTCCTAAGCGGCAAACGGTGGAGAATTTCGTCCTTAGATAAAAAAATAGTAAAAAATGGACCGAAACCGCAGTTTTTTTTATTGTTTTTTTCTTTCTTCTGACACAGTTATAGAGTAAATTGGATAGACAGGTAAACAAAGTACAAGCAATAACTGGCCGTCACTGGTTACTGACTCACAGTATTCTGCCGCTACCGGCTTTCAGCTGTTACGTTTAATAGCCACAGTCAAACGCCAACCACGCGTTCACAACACCACTAACCTCACCCCCCGTCACCCAATGCCGCTTTACATCTATTTCCACATCTCGCCACGCGTCCACTGGCCTCTCATACCTCACCCGTCACAGCCGCGTCGCGATATCAAAATTCAGTTTCTCTCATTCACCATCAACCCCTACCACTCTCGTTCTCTCTCTCTCTCTCTCTCCAAACCCAAAAAAATCTGCTTCTCCTTCGCAATGAGTTCGAGATCGGAACCCTAACCCTAACCCTAGAGCCCCAATTCGAAACTATGTCTCTTCGGAAAGCCTTTCTCTCCCGGAAATTCTCCAAATCGTTCAGGGAATTGTTCCGCGACGAGGATCAGGCGCGTGGGGGGGACGGCCGAGTCTCCCGAGACTCGGCCGAGTTGGACCGCGTTGCGGACTGTCCCGACTCGTCGTCGTCTTCGTGGTCGGCTATGCTCCCGGAGCTCCTTGGCGAGATCATACGGAGAGTGGAGTCTAGCGAGGACAAATGGCCTCACCGCCAAAACGTGGTCGCTTGTGCCTGTGTCTGCAAGCGGTGGAGGGATATCACCAAGGAGATCGCGCGGTCGCCGTCGTACAGTGGAAAAATCACCTTCCCTTCGTGCCTTAAACAGGTATTCCCTTTGGCGATTTAGTTTTCGATTTGTTTATTCACTTTTTAGCAGAATTTAGGTTAAGCAAGTTTGTGTAATCTGGAATTTGAATAGTTCTGAGGAGATCGATCAGGATTGTTTGGAAAATTGTTATTTTGGTGGAAGATTTGCATCCTGCAGTTTTTGAAAGACGTGTGTTGAAATTGTTGTAGAAATCTGAAACTTTAATGGGTTGCATAGTCATAATGGGGTTCATCTGTGATCAGATCCGAAAAAAGCGACTGACTTTCGAAGAATGTGCATTTTTAAGAAGGTGCATCCTTTGAGACACACCGTATTTGTATTCTTTTGCAGGATTAGCTCAACATTTTTCCCCTTTTGAGAATGATATCGTGATTGGTTTCAAAATGAAATTTACAATTGAAGTCTGAAATTATAAGCGATTTTATTTGATGATCGCAAGATCAAGGACTAGGTAGTTTAAAAACTTTAATGGTTTGCAAAGTCATAGCGGGGTTTGCCTGTGATCAGAGTGAATTGGCATAGTTATGAACTAAGTGAGTAAATTTTGAAGTGCATTGTTAAGAAGGTGCATGCCTTGAAATATACCAAAAATTTGGAAGTTATATATGCTCTTGCCAATAAGTACCCAGCCATTTGTATTTCATATATTGTTTTGAATCTTTTGTTTTGTCTGAAAAGCAATAAATTTTATGAAATCTACCATAAAGTTATGTCTCCTTTTAGCAACTAAAATCTGAACCGGTAATGTTGTTAGTGAAGAAATTAGGTATTTTCTGGCGCATTATTGTTATACTTCAATGATAGTTCTTACAGGGAAAAGAGAATGATATATGAAGATTGTTTCTTGTCTGCTTCTGGTATAGCTGGTTTTCAGTCATCTCTTGAAGAGAGATTGAAGTTTTAATATTAAGTTGCTTCCGGTTTATCGTTGACAATAATAATGTGTTCAATGGTTTAAATGTAGTGGTGTTTAATAAATTGATCTGAAACTGATGATCTTACACTTTTTTATTCTTGCAGCCAGGGCCACGCGATTTTACCCACCAATGTCTAATAAAACGAAACAAGAAGACCTCAACGTTTTACCTTTATCTAGCACTTACCCAATGTGAGTATGTATATGAGAACAACTTCCGAATGACTTCCTCCTCCTATGTGTCTTCAAAAGCTGTTTTGCTGTAATATATGAAAATTTTGACCTGCATGTCACCAAGGCAATATCTGAAAGGGGCAAATTTCTTGGGCCAAACCTGTTTAAGTTGACTTTAATGTGCTTGAAGAAATGGAGGAATTTTTCTGGCGATTGAATTGCTAAGTTGACTTGACTCAGTAGGATCTGGGCAATCTCAGAATTGTCAAACAAAACCTTTGATTTCCTGGTCTTAAATAGTTTTTGACTTGATATTAATTTGGTTTGCAGCCTGACCTAACCTAATTACCTGTGAAAGGGCAGGTCATAGCTCTAACAATTAGAGAGATATCATTTGCCTGAAGAAGAAATTTTTGAGGGGCACTTAGTCAATGCTGAAAAAAACTTAGTAAAATAGACCTTTAAGTTTGAGATGTTTAACTTACTGTGAACTTTAAGTTTGCAGAAGATCAGGGCTGTAGTGACTCTTGCTGCCTTCTTAATTCTCATTCTCCTATTGTATGCAGTTGATCTTTTGTGTTTTTTGATACTCTTTTTTAGTGGTTCTTGACAGCTTGCATGATGGTTATTGTTGAATGGTTTCTTATTCTCATGCGATTTTTTTCCTCTCTTCGTCCAGCATTCACCGATAAGGGAAAGTTTCTTTTAGCTGCACGGAGATATAGGCATGGCTCACACAACGAGTATATAATATCACTTGATGCTGATGACATATCCCAAGGAAGCAATGCTTATGTGGGCAAATTAAGGTAAGACTTTTTTGTGAAAGGAAGTTAAGTTAGAGGACCATTTTTCGGCATGTCAGTGAGAGGTTTTATACCAAGTTAGGCTGACATGTTATCCTCATTTTGTAGAATTCAGAACCAGCTTGGCAGTGAGTTTTTAGTAGTTTGCATTCCATTGGATTACAAGAACAAATTTGAATGTTAAACACGATTTCTTGAACTTTTGCAGCTCGGATTTTCTGGGCACCAATTTTACAATCTATGATAGCCAGCCACCGCATAGTGGTGCAAAGCCTGCAAGCAGTAGGTCTACCCGTCGTTTTGCAAGCAAGCAAATAAGCCCCCAAGTTCCGGCAGGCAACTTTGAAGTTGGGCAGGTCTCTTACAAATTCAACCTTCTAAAATCAAGAGGTCCAAGAAGGATGATTTGCCCTCTTAATTGCCCACCATCAGATGAAACTGCCATTGAAAAACCCATGGACAAATGTAAGTTGAAGAAAACAGCTTCTACCAGTTATGGCTACACCGTCTTGAGGAACAAAGCTCCAAGATGGCATGATCAGTTGCAGTGCTGGTGTTTGAATTTCCATGGTCGGGTCACAGTGGCATCAGTAAAGAACTTTCAACTCGTGGCAACTGGGGACCCAAGCCAGCCAGGAGGGAAAGGAGACGAAGAAACGGTTCTTCAGTTCGGGAAAGTGGGTGATGATACATTTACCATGGATTATAGGCAGCCCTTGTCAGCCTTCCAGGCATTTGCTATTTGCCTTACCAGCTTTGGCACCAAACTGGCTTGTGAGTAAAGGTTATTTCTTTTGTATTGATTTTTTCTCTCTTAATGTTATATTTAAAGAGCTGGTGCCGGTGCCGGTGGAGATTTCCTTATGTTCTCCACTCTACATAAGAAATTTCAACGGTTCAGTTTCGGTTGGACGATGCTTATTATGTAAATATTGCTTTTGTATGATTTTGTCATGGGCTGCTGTTGAAATCATTGGCGGTTTTTAATATATTGTAAGACGTTGAAGGGGGAATTGGATCCCTCCTGAGCAAATGGTGGGAATCTTCATGATCACACAACACGGACTGTTAGATTTTGATCAAAAGACTACAATTATTATAACTTTTAGAGGGACTTTTTATTTGTAGCCGTTTGATCAAAATTCAACGGTATGTGTTGTGTGGTTATGAGGATTCCTACCATTTGCTCAGAGGAGATCCAATTCTGGAGGTCGATTTTACATTCATGTCATATCTCAATGGCTTTGAATGAAAGATTGATTTGATTTTTTCACCCCGAGATATGACAGCGAAGCTACAAGACTCCAGGCCGTTGAATACTCCGTCACTAATATCTTAGATCTAATCCAATGGTTGTCCAATTTTCTTTGAATCCGTTATATTCGATCTAAGGGCTCCAAGTGGTCGTGGAGTATTGTTGATATTTTTGGATATTATGATCCTCTGAAGGATGAAGCCATCAAACCATCAAGCCATTAATCTTAACGCGGCAGGGCGACTGTCACATTGAAAGAAAAAACACTTTCACAAACGCTTTGTTTAAGTAAGAAACTCATCCATTGAAAACTTCGTCTTTAATATTATTGCATTGCAGTGTTGAAGAAGCCATCCCTTCTTCCTTAACGCGCAACAAACCAAACAGCAAAATTCCCCACCAAAAAACAGTGGAGCAAGAATTGATTCAAAGGTTGGGCAGATTGCAACTCAACGAATTTTACATAAATCAAATTTCATTGAGATCGATTCAGTAAGATACATCTACTCTCTGAAGTGTGCTAAACTAGTCAATACAGTCATCCGAACAAGAGGCAAAATTCAAGAAATGCAAATGCTTCTTCAAGTCTTTCCTCAAAAATCTCCATCCACAATTCCATGCCTAGTCAAAACTATCTCCTTCACAAGATTTCTGTAAGTGAAGGGTCGAACCGCTGCTCGCAAAAACAGTTGCGGAGGAATCTTACTCTTCTTGATCCTTTTCCTCCATGGACCATACCCAGCAACCTTCCATTCTTCAGCACTCACTGTCGGTCGTTTCCCCCTCATGACGATTTCATCACCATCACCATCTTCGTCGTCCTCCAAGTTTCGATTTTTGTTCCCTTCCATTGTCCTCAATTGCTTCTTATAGTACTCCGTAGTTGCCTCTACACTCTGTTTTGCTAGCTTTTCCATTGCATCCGAGCTACTCACCGCCTTTTCAAACTCCTCCTCCCAGTACTTCTCATCCTCTTCTTCACTCAACTCTTCCGCGTCAACTCCCAATTCATCGTCTCCATCACCTTCCTCCTCATCATCAACCTCAAATTCACTCTCACCACCATCTTCCATTTCCATAACAACATTATCCTCCTCATTATCAACCTCGTCATCCTCAACCCACTCCGTAAACTCCTTCTCGGCCACATTGATGCCGCTGCCCTCATCATCACCATCCGGCGCATCACAACCCAACTCCCACTCCTCCAACTTGGCCTTCCACTCCTTCGTATACGGATGCAACAACTGAACCGGATGATTCTTTAGCAAAAACCCCAAACACCTTGACTTCTCCTCATCACTCAACTTCTCATAACCCTTCACCACATCATCCACAAACGCCTTCTGATTCACCTTCACAATCTTACACAACCCACCAAAGTAAGTGCACATTTCAACACTCCCATCAGCTTTCTCGAGCTCAAACAAGTAATCCTCCTCCGTTTTTGGATCAAGAAACGGGGTCAACACCTTGAAAAAATCGTCCTGAGGCTCGAACCTGCACTGATAAACTGGCCTCTTCACGTATATAATATCGGGTCTAAACCAAGCTGCACACTTTGTTATCAAAGATCTAGTCAAATTCCCAAGCCTGCCCATCAAACTCCATTTGTCCAGCCTCTGCTTTTCGCCTTCCACCACCACCTCACACACCAAAGTCCACTGCTGCCACGGAAAATCCGAAAGCCGCCACCTCGGGTGCCTCACAAACACCCAAAAGTACTTCCTCCCTTTGCTTCTATCCAATTGCCCCAATCTCTTCCCAAAATCTTGGCTCATCTCAAATTGCTCAATCTTTTCCCACTCCTCCTGGTCCTTTACTTCCCCAATAATCGTCACCCTCTCGTCGGTAAACCTTCCGCGGACCGGTTGGCCGACGACTACCCCGCGCCAGGAATACGGCCCGAATTCTCCGTACTTGTACCAGTCATGCGGGTGGCGCAAATTGGGGTCGTCCTTCTCCATGAACCGGACCATCCGGTCATACCCGAGCCCGATTTGCTGGAGCTCGTCCTCGGTGAAGTTATCGGCGTACTTCCGGCTCTGGTTCTTGAGCCTATAGAAATTGGACTCGGCGAGCCTTTTGCTTTTCCTGCGAGCATTTTCCCTCACCTCCCGGCGAGAATCCGCGTTACCCTCGATTCGGCCCGGGGACGGTCCGCCTCCGGCCTTCTTCTTGCTCCGGCCGGCGAACAAGCGGAGGTCCCGCCGTAGATGGGGAATTTGGCGGGAAAATGTGAAATTGGGGTCGGAATTTAGCGGGAATTGGGAGGATGAGTTAATGGAGAGGGTTTTGGGGGCCACGGTGAGGGGCTTTAGGGTTAGGGTTTTGCGGAGAGGATTGGAGAATGGCGTGAGGAGGAAGAGAGAGGGGTTTAGGGTTTTAGAGAGAGAGGGGTCTTGACTCAGCATTTTCGATTTCTCGGAGGACCTGACCAGCGCGGTCGTTAATTAGAGATGAAATAAACGGATAAACGATGCCGTTTAGTGCACTCCAGCTTTTTTAAAATAAAACGGGTAAACGGTGCCGTTTAGTGCACTCCAGCTAAACGCAGAGCCGTGCCGATAGATCTCCACCTCTTGCTTCGTCTTCCTTCTCCATTTCCGAGTCCGATCCAATCAATCAGCCATGGCGAAGCGAACTCATACGACAGAGCTGGGCAGCATAGCCTGCGAGGAGCTCGGCGAGCTAGGCGCGGGAAAGGAAGGCTGGCTCGTCGACAACCCCAACCTCCTCTGCGCCCTCGACACCCACTCGATCGCGCTTGCCAACCGGTCCGTTATTGTGGTTCTCGGTTGGTCCGAATCCGACGGGACCCGGCTCAAGATCCGACCTGTATTGTCCCCGATAGAGGCGGAGTTCGTCACGGCGGTGGAGTGGTTGGTGTTTGACGAGATAAGGGTGGTTGTTGCCGGGACTTCGTCTGGGTATCTCCTCTTTTTCTCTTTGGGTGGCGATTTGATTCATAGACAGGTAAAGCTGCTAAATTGGTGATTTGGGTTTGATTAGATGAACTTTGTCTTAGGATGATGTGAATTTTATTGGGTTTGTTAGATTTTTGCATATGGGGTTAGTAAATGCAACGATTTTGTATGTCATTGTGGTTATTTCTGGTATTGATTATTGAACTGTTGAGTTATTGACTTTAATTAATTTAGATTTTGCATATATGATAGTTTTATGATTACTTATGGTACATCGTCTGTTGGAAACTTGAGTTATGGTCTTGGTCATGCAACTTTAATGAGTTTGTGGATTTACAGATGGTGTATCCTGTGCGGATTATAAGGTTGAGGGTCCGTGGAACGAAGAGAGACTTGACCCATGAAACATCCTCAGAGGAGGTTTGTGTTGTTATGCCTGGCATGGTTGCTCGTTTTGATGGCTCGGATATTCAGGTAGGGGAAACTTTTTGTTTTTTCATTCCTTGCTATGAAGATTTTTAGCTGTAATGTCATCTTTGAGCGTGAAGCATGAAGCATGTGTCTTGAATCTTTAATTTCACATACTTTCACTTGTAATGTAGAGATTTTTTTTTTTTTTTTTTTGAACAATCGATATTAACTACACTAACAGGAGGAGTGGGAATGTAGAGATGAGTTTTAAATTAAGAAGATTGTATGTGATGTCTGTTGGCAGAGACTTGGAAAAAGTTTAGGTCCCCCTTATTTTCTGGTTTAAATTTTGGAGTTGCTTCTAGCATTTAGAAGCTCAATCAATGTAGGTTCTCATAATATTTTTTACATGCTTGGAATGTAGAATATGCTGCACCAGTGGTTTCAAGATACACAGTCTCGGTTTTGGGATCAAACACCCAAAAAGCGAGGCTCAGATGATTTTGGACATTCCTATGGTAAATTACCTTACCAGTTATGGAGTGTCAGCAAGTACGGTACTTGTGCTGATGCAGCAATTACTGGCATTATGCCTCCGCCACTGATGGAAATCCAGGTATATTCACCCTGCTTATTTAAATATTCTGATTCTTTCTCTTTTAATTGCATGAAATGGAGCAAGATTATAAAAACACACATTGCATCCAAAACATGACAAAAGGAGATGATCAATTTTTCGTAGTTTTTCTGATAGTAATGCTTCTGGTGTTTTTCCCTATAAATCATGGAAAACCTTCTGAAGTTATTCTGGGTTTGAATTCAGCTGCTTTTGTTGTTGGGCAGTCAAGCGAACATTATTACTGTGGAATCACTGTTGGAGAGGATGCCGTGATTTCAGCCTTCAGGTTAGTGTGGTGGGATGATACAACTTACAGGATTCTCACTTAGTGTTGAGTGCAGTCTTATATTTGTTTCACTTAAGAGTGCTCATATTTATTGACTACATTTTGTTTCTCCATGTAAAGGCTTTCGGAAGACAAAAATAGGTCTTTGGTCGGAGCAATCTTATCTAGAGTTGTGCCTGCAACATTTTCGACAATAGCTTCATTATCAAAAATGATTTGGCGGAGTGACCAGGGTTCTCCTAAAAAATCAGAGGAGAAACCTCAACCATTTGCACGAGGTGAGATTAATTTACTGTAGTTATTAACTTAAAGTTTATGATTGTTGCCTAAGTACAATTGTGTAGTTTTTCACCTCGAATGTATAAATGAAAGAAGGACAAGATTATAAGCACAAAGAACAGAGAAATGGTAACTCATCTTGAAAGTAACTACTTCCCTTGCATCCTTGTCTGTGGTGGTCATGTCCCCTACTTGC